CTTGCAGAAAGTTGGATGGATGGATGGATGGATGCATAAATGGATTTTGAAATGAGAGTGACTGATGTGCCTCACAGAGCCAGAGGTCTTTCGTATCTTCCTGCGGGGAAAGTCCACTGGGGTTAGGGGGACTGTGTAAGACCATCTGGCCATGATTGCAACTTTATCTCCGGTAAATTAAGCCTGCACAGGTGCAGTGTGTTCCCTCTGCTTACTGCCCATTACAGGTTGCTTTGTGCTCAGAGGACACCGAGCAAGCCGGTCCGAGGCTGCCCTGTGCACCTGGCTCAGCCTTAAGAGCCTCGATTAACCTGGCGTGTAAATTACACTTCCTGCCCATTCTTTATTTTTAGCTCAGCAATATCTACTTGACTCCTGCAGGCAAGACTGCCTTAGATTTCAGTCATGAAACTACAAAGCCGGAGCATCTCTAACCCGGCTAGGATGACTCTCATTAACCCCACGATGCTCCGTTTCTTGGGACGCTCCCCAGCTCTGGGACTTAGGTTTGCCATAGAACGATGGCGGCCTGGGCCATTCAGCGCCCTCAGGACCTGGCCCCAGCCCACATGTGCACTGGTAGGGAAATCTGCTACTCGGACCAGACCTGCCTACACTTAACCAAACTGTCGATTTCCCATGTTCATCCCCTTTGAGGGAAACTCATTTGTTGTTACTGCAGAAGTTGAGTTTTTTTGCTTTCTCTCCCTCCCTTTCTCTCCCTCTGTCTCGCTCTCTCTCTCTCTCTCCCCCTTCTCAGTTACGCAGTATCATGACCCAAATCTTTAGTGCTTGACCTATATAGCCGGGGGCAGGCTATGGAGACAGTCGGTCATCCAGTGGGCATCCGTCCCCGGAGGATTCTTAAACACTTGGGGCTGCTTCACTGGGAGATGAGAGCAACTTAGAGTCAGCCTTTTTTTCCCCCCCTTTTTTTCAGCCAGCCATTCTTAACACCATTTTATTTATTTTAGAATCCCCGGCTCCAAGTCCAGCCACACAGGGTCCGAAAGTGTTGGTTGAGTTGAATAGAAATCCACTCTGGAGTGTGTCCTTTTAACCCTCCAGGGACCTGGGAGAAGCTAGCTCCTTTCCCGTGCCCCAGTCTGTGAAATGCTGCCTTCTCAGCACTAGGTCAAAGGAGGGTTTTTGGTTTTGTTTTTTAAAGCTACTTATTGTTTTATTCTAGTTAGACAAGGAATATATGATTTTTTTAATTGGGGAAAATATTGAAAATTATGAAGAACAAAATTAAACTTCCCAATATACCATTATCCAGAGGCAACTACCACTGATGTTTTCCTATTTTCTCAATCTTAACTCCTCATGACAGAGGGTCCTGTATTGCTCCAGATTTTTCTGAGGACTGGGGGGAGGAGGGTTGAGGGTGGATTATATTCTTTCTAATCTTACAGCTTCAGGCCTTCTTGGGCTATACACACACATATTCCAAATTTATATATATTATTGGGATATGTTTTATTAGGATATATATAGTCACAGGTGTATGTCATATAATACACATGTATATAACATGTACCCATATAATATATAAATATTTGAGCTGTATCAGCTGTTGCCGTAATAGTACTATACAACTACTCGCAAACTCTGTGTTTTTTTTTTTAAGATTTTATTTATTTATTTGTCAGAGAGAGAGAGAGAGAGAGAGCACAGGCAGTCAGAATGGCAGCCAGAGGCAGAGGAAGAAGCAGGCTCCCTGCTGAGCAAGGAGCCTGATGGGGGACTCGATCCCGGGATGCTGGGATCGTGACCTGAGCTGATGACAGCTGCTTAACCAACTGAGCCGCCAGGCGTCCCACAAACTCAGTGGTTTAAAACGAATGTCACTTATTATTGCTCACACTCCAGTGACTACACTGGTATTTGCTGATCTAGGCTGGGCTCCGCTAAGCAGCTCTAATTTCAGGTATAGTTCTGACTGGGCTTGGCGTCTTACTCTGGTTTGGGCTCCGGTCTACTCCCCATGTGTTTTTCCCAAGGCCAAGGCTGAAGGGACAGCCACTGAACAGAGAAGCTCTTCTCTTGGTGCCGTCAAGGCACGCAAGGACAGAGCCAGCTCCACAAGCACCTTCGAAGTGTCTCCTGTGTTGTGTCTGCATCCCAGTGGTTAAGGCAGATGACATGGCTGAGCCCATCGTCCAGGGGCAGGGAAGTACAACCCACCCACCATGAGACGAAAGCACGTGACCAAGACCAACATCAGTGGGTCAGGGATGTATCCACTTCCCACAGAGGTGAAGAGGGGGGGAGGGAATATGTTTGAGACTGATAGACTCTACCAGCGTCCCACATACCTGCTGAAGAACTCTGTCCTCTGTGATTCAGTCTGCTCAGAACACAGCAGGCGAGTACTATCATCCAATCTTCTCAGGAAGCCTCCTCTAGTGTTCCTCTACCCATTGAGCTAGTTCCATTTCTGGATCATCATGCCCCATGTGTGTTGTTCCTGTTGCACACTCATATCCCTTTCCTTGATTCCCCCAGAATAATGTACACAGAGGTGGGGAGGAGATTTTGCGGCACATCTGGAACAACAAAGGAGTTCTATTATTTTTTTGATTTTATTTATTTATTTGACAGAGAGAGAGAGATCACAAGTAGGCAGAGGGGCAGGCAGAGAGAGAGGGGGAAGCAGGCTCCCTGTTGAGCAGAGAGCCCAATGCAGGGCTTGATCCCAGGACCCTGAGATCATGACCTGAGCCGAAGGCAGAGGCTTAACCCACGGAGCCACCCAGGCACCCCTATCTTTTTGTTTAGATGTCTGTGTCACTCGGCCCCATCTCCTATGGATTCTGTTTGCATCTCAGCCCGCACACAGCCTATCAAATCCAGGCTTGCTGAAGAACTCATCTTGGCCTCAGAAATCCTAGAGGTCTCATTTGGCTGAGCCACGTCTTTTTGCAACTTGGTTTCGTTTCTTTGACTCTTTCGACATACGTTACATTGAGCACTTGAGCCTTCCAGCCCCACAATGAATGAACTATCTAGAGGGGGAGACGAATGATTTCTATGTGCTGTCGTGTGGGGTTGAGAGTTGCTAGACCTCAGCACTATTGAGATTTGGGGCCAGATAATTCTTTGTGGTGGGAGGCTGTTCTGGGCATTGTTGGGGGTTCAGCAGCATCCCTGACCCCAGTACCCACCAGATGCCAGGGGCACCATCCCCCACTCTCCTTGAGTCGTGGACAACCAGAATGTCGGCACACATTGCCAGCTATCACCTGGGGGAAAAAAATCACCCCGGTTGAAAACCATGGCTCTAACATGGAGTAGACTTGAAAAGACCTCTGATAAGCCAAAATAATGTGCTAATAAATGAGGGCAGTGTTATTTCCTGGTGCTGCCTCTGTGAAAGCCTCATAGGGTGGCTGGTATCTGTGCTGAGACTTCAAGAATGGTTAGGGTTTTGAGGTGGGTTTCTCGGAGGAGGGAAAAACGTGGGGCACAAATGGGCAAATAAGGAGTAGCTCTTGTCCAGAGTGTAGACCATGTTGGCACGGGAGGCTAGCTACTGGAGGGCCACCTAAGTTGTTATAAAGTCTTTCACTTCTACCGGGAGTGAAATGATAAATATATCTGTGTTCGTTTGGAGAGAAGATGATTGTACATAGAGTTTGTCTTCATAGCCCAAAGTAATTGCTACAAAGTCTCATCTATCCACAGGTCATTTCTCAGATGTCCAGGAAGGAAACCTCTAAGGGCACAGTGTATCCCTAAACAGACCCATGCTTGTAGCTTGGTGTCCCTTACCCCTCTGAAGATCTCATTCTGGACTCCTCCTCTTAGGTCTTAGTTGAAAAGACTTGGTTAGCCAGTTCCCACCAGCAGATTAGAAGATGGAAGTGGGTGGTGGTAGGACAGATTCAGATGGGCACAGACTCTGCAGCAAAGCTTTCAGCATGGCAGAGGGGAAAGAAACTAAAAGCAAAATTGAATGAGCAAACAAATATGTTCAGGTCAAATAAATCTTTAGACAGGGGAACATCCAACCCTTCATAACCCTTAGGACATTGCTGTGTGACAGCACTACACTAGGGTGCCAACTTAAGCAATGTTTCGCAAGGCAGGAACTACTAGAGATACTACAGAACCCATGTGGTAAGAGGTTAACACCACGGTCAGGAGTAGGGTCTAGAGTTTGACTTCTGGCTTGAGTTCTTGCCTCAAGGCTCTGTAGCAATCAACTGGCCCCTTTACCAAGTCTTACTGGTCTCATCCATAAAATGGGGATTCCCTACTCAGAAGGTCATTGGGAAAGTTAAAATCCACTGTGTGAATTCTGAGCTCTGTTCTCACCACGGATTTAGTACTCAATAAAAGCTAACATTTAATACTATCATTTCATTGAAAGAATTAGCGACTGAGACCTCTCCCAGATTGAAACTGTTCTGGAATATTCCCAGGGTCTCTTGTCAGTGCCCGGTTTTCCCTTTCAGAAAATACCTAGGATGGCCGTGACAACTGAGAAAGTTCCAATTGTCTCAGTTACCCCCCCCTTTCCCCGTTCTTTGGGGCAGAAGAGGACGGGCCACTGAGGGCGATGACAGCAGGCCTGCAAGGATATTGCCCACTAGCCTGTGGCAACCTATTTTCTTTGAGAAAGAAGAACAGTTGTTCTGAGATGACTAGGAGAGTAGGAATCTATTTTCCTTCGGCCCTTATGCTCTATGCTGTGTAAGAATATCTACCGCCAGATTAAGAATGGGCACACTAACAGAGTTCCAGGGGGACACGCCCGAGCGTATCACAAAGCAGTGGCACTGAGTGAGGGGCGGTCACTCTGGGATGTTTTCCTTTGATCACTGTCTGCGACCTGGCAGAGCTGAACACACAGGGTGCTCTGTGGGGTGCTCTGGCCTGGTATTACACCGGGAGACGGAGACTGCCAGGAAGTCACCCCACAGGAAGGATCTGCTTTCCGGCCCAGGAGTGGCAGGACAATAAAGGACCCTGTTCTCTGTTTGTGTGTTTTCCAGGCTGGAGCAGGAAATACAAGCGCTAGAAAGTGAAGAGTCCCAGATATCTGCCAAAGAGCAAATCATCCTAGAGAAACTAAAGGAGACAGAAAAATCCTTTAAGGACTTTCAGAAGGTAAAAAAAAAAAACAAACAAATAAAAAACAAATGTGATTTCTTGAGATTATATCCCAGGGGAAGTGAGCTCTAGCAAATTGGCACCAGTGGGGACAAGGCCAGTTAGTACTGATGAGATGTCTGAGCCCCACACTCCATGAAATGCGGTGCGGGTGTGTGAGGACCTGGCCATCTCTGACCCTGACAGTGGCCTATAATCAGGTGTGGGACCACCTTGTCTGCGGGGAAGCACAGACAAGAGCCTGTAAATCAGCCCCATCCACCTATTATCCAAACCCTTCATATGCCTGGTTCCTGAAAAGTCCTCTCCCCTTGGACTTCAGAATTCCTAAGCTAATTCTTTTTTTTTTTTTTTTTAAGATTTTATTTATTATTTATTTGACAGACAGAGATCACAAGAAGGCAGAGAGGCAGGCAGAGAGAGAGGAAGGGAAGCAGGCTCCCCGCTGAGCAAAGAGCCTGATGCAGGGCTCAATCCCAGGACCCTGGGATCATGATCTGAGCTGAAGGCAGAGGCCTTAACCCACTGAGCCACCCAGGCACCCTCCAAAGCCAATTCTTATGAAGCAGATTAGACCTGTTCCTTGTGGCTTCAATCTAAATCTTTCCTTTATAAAAAGGCCAGAGGCAAAAACCATATCCAATGGATATAAATACCGAATAAACAGAGTGTAAACACTATGGAAACAGGTGGTGCCCTGTAGCACATAGGAGAGAACCCATAAAGCCAGCAGTCTCTGAACATCTCAGGACCTTCCTTCCATTTTGTCACCCAGCTACACAGACGGAAGAAACAATCCAACCAAATTAATTTTAAGATGGGATTTTCCGATGTCACTTCTCCCACACAACCAAGGGTATTTGCTGCGTAATTGACATAAATCCCTACCGGGAGAAACTCAGTATGAGGTGGAAATGACCAAACTTTCCCTTAAATTTCAAGATCCCAAACACATTTCCCAAAAGAAAAGAGAGTATTGGGTTTAGGCACCACAGTCAAATTCTGGACCTGGGGGAGAGAGACAGGTTAGATGGTTGAGGGATTGTGTCCCCACATGTGAGTAACGCTCTGCCCTGCTTTTGTTTCCACAGAGCTTCTCCAATGCGGATGGAGGTAAGTGGAAGTGTTCTCTGCCCCCATTCTTTAGAAGAATCTTATCCCGGTCAGCTTAGTGGGTTTCACGAACACAGGCTCACTGGGAGACGCGATGTGTTGGCGTGTGAGGCCATCAGAAAGAAGGAGCAGCTCACTGTGCTGGGCCTTGAGGAGGTGCACGTCCCCAGGCTTGTCTGCCTCCTTTTTCAAGGATGGTTTCTCAACTCACCATTTTTAGTCTTCTACAGTTGGCCTGGCTCCTCCCCTTCCCAGCCGGTCCTCCAGGTTCCCTGCTTGGGCCTTTCTTAAAAGCTGCTCCACCAAGAGTGCTAACATTGGGACCAGGTCCCTGGTGAGAATGAGCCCGTTGGTGGCCAGGGCTCCAGGTCACAACACACATCATAAGGCCATCATCTGGTGTTTAGGAAACTTTTCTAAGGCCTGTGTTTTTACTCTGAATCAGAAAACTGCCATTTCTTCAGCCTCCCAGGGTAACAAGGCTGGGCAGAACTTCCCTCCCTATGTGGCGGCATTGGCCTTGAACCTGTGAAGGGTGGGAGAAGGGCCCTGGCTACCTGGCCCCATCCTGGCAGGAGTGGTTCTTTCTTCTGTTCCCCCTTCCCTTCCATGGCCCTAACCTGCCTCTACTGACTTTCCCTGTCGCCTGTAGTCAGGTGTGGGACCACCTGGGGTGGTGGGGGATGAACTTGGGGTTAGGGGATGAACTTGAGGTTGTGTGTTTCTCGTCCTTCACCTTGCTTCCCTCACTTAAGCTACAAACTCATGAAAACCACTCCATTTCCACTTTCACTACGGCCTTCAACTAGACTTGCTTTGAAAGGCTGGGACTTGTCAGAAAGATCAGATGCCGTCTGCTCTCCTGATTCTTATAAGGTCAACCTCTAAACTATGAAGAAGATCAGGAACCAGGATAAAGGTTGGCATCAGTATTTTCCCAATGTCATTTGTAAATATAAGAGCAAAGACTTATAAATGCAGAGATGGGTCTTGTAATTTTCTGGATTAGCAAAAATATTTGCACTGAGGATAATTTTGACTTTAGCCAGAAAAAAGTATTATTTTATTTTATTTTATTTGGTGGGAGAAGTTGGTTTCCAGCAAATAAAAAAGGAGGAAATCTGGATTTTTGGGCCCCAGGGATCTTGGGGAAAGTAGTAAAATAAACTTCATGTTCCCAGCACATGAGGGCAGGGACAAATCAGGACCAAACTAGTAGGGACTCCAGGGGGAGGACCTATGACATTCTAAAGCCTTCTCTAGGGTGTGGCCAAATCAGGGGTCTTGTTCTGTGCTTTGGGAATAGAACATGGAGTGAAGAGGTGGTCCCGTGTCTTTGGGGCCTAAGGGATGGCAGCCTGGGAGGCACAGTGGGCTTCCCTAGTGCTAGGAAAGACCTGAGGCAGTGGACATAATCAGCAATCATTCAGTAAGTGTGAGGCTGGAGTGGGGCCATGGGACATTGGCCCTCAGACACCTACATCCTGGAAGGGTACACACTGACCTTTCATGCTTTTACTTCTTTTTTTCCCCCTCTTCTTTCTCAAACCAGAATCTTCCCTAGACTTTTCTGTATAATTAGGGAAAAGAAGGAGCCTGAATGTCACATCTCTGGGAGGGCTCTGTGGGGCATGGAGACCCACATAGCCTATGACTTGTTAACAAGCAACACAGAAGGCATGTTATAAGCCCTGTGTCTTTCATTTACAACCTGAACTTCTTTTATTTCCTCCTGCATCACTTCCCATGATGGGCGTCCCTTCATCCAGCAGCTCATGGAAGTGGGAAGAAACTTGACCGTGACTAAAAAGAGCCTACAGAGAAAATTGCTCTGATGTCTCTGTCCTCAGTCACTTTTTGACAGAGGTGACCTCGGGCTCAAGGATGCAGACATTTTAGGGATCCCAGGAAACAGGGAAAGGTTTCTGTGGTCTTACTGGTCACCCTGGATTATGGCTCCTGCCATCTCTGCTTATACCTCAGCCTGCGTGGACCTTTCCATCATACCACGTCTACTGGCAAAGAAAGAAGTTTGAAGGAAGGACCACATGCTCCAACAATGCGGTCAATGTTTAGCTCACACTGTGGTCTGAGAGTACAAAGTGAAGCAAATCCAGTTGAGGAACCCTGGAATATCTGATTCATTTCCCATTCTTTGGTTTCAAAGGCCAAGACCCTCTCAGAATCAACCACCTGTTGTTACTAAGAACTAACCCCAAAGTATTATAGAATAATAGCGCCTTGAGAAAAATACCCTACTTCTGAAATGCTAACTACAGAATCCAAGGCCAACTAGGATTATAACTGTGCAAGACGCTACAGATAACCAGCAGAACATCCCTAGTTTAATGAGGTGCCAAGGAGATAGCTGCTGGCGACCCCGCTTCAGGTCCCTGTGCACGTCCCCCTATGCATGACAGAGGACGTGAAGGGACAGCACTGCTAAGTCTCCAATGGCTTTGGATTGCATGGTCGTCCTGGCCATCAAGAGCAACATATTCCGATCTTGAGTAGAATTCCCTGGCCATATACATTCTGACCCCGCTCACTTTCTCCCCACCCTCATACATTCTTTTTTATTTTTTTAAGATTTTTATTTTTCTGTTTGACAGAGAGAGATACAGCGAGAGAGGGGACCCAAGCAGGGGGAGTGGGAGAGGGAGAAGCAGGCCTCCCGCAGAGCAGGGAGCCCAATGTGGGGCTCGATCCCAAGCCCACAGGATCATGACCCAAGCTGAAGGCAGATTCCTAATGACTGAGCCACCCAGGCGCTACCCACCCCCATACACTCCTGTTATGTGGCAGAGCCTTCATCAGTTGGGCGGGTTGTTTTTACCGCCTTAAATTGGCAGAATGTCTTGTGTAACTGTAATTTCCATGTAGCATATGTCTTGTGATAACTGCTCTTCACCCACCGAGGAGCTGGGGTGAAACCTTTGGCCAGAACTGGCAAAGGAGCATGGTGTCCTGGGCGTGTCTCCACCCTCGCTGTCTGAGACCATTCTTGGGTTTCCATCCCGTCCCGGTCTGCGGGGGCGGGAAGCCATCCCCATATCAACCCCTTCACAGGCGCTGCTGGGAAATCTCAGTGTTTTCAGGTGCCCATAAATCACGCGTTCCGAGGAATGTTCCTTTGGTTTCTCCAACTCTGGCTGTGCGTGTCCGATCTAGTCACGGTAAATATTTCAGCAGCCCCAGGGACTAACAAGGAGCACTCATGTGACATGTCTGCCTTGGCAGTGACCATTCTCTGCCTTCTCTGACCATAGACCACCCTGTCTTTGGCAGGAAGAGGGCAGGTTACTGACTGAGTCTGCATGAAGAAATTCTTCCCAAGGAGGCTCTGGAGGCCCTGTAACTTATTCCTGGTGTTGGTCTGTTGGCTGCCTCCCAGTAGCACAGATTTGCTTTGACTACTTCATGCTATCTTGAGGGGGCTGGTTGCCTGGTTCTCCTTCTGGAACCCCATCCTCACCACTCCCTTATCTCAGCGGGAGTCTGTGGTCCCAGCCTTCCAAGAGCTGTAGTCCTCAAGCTTGTAGCCAGGGACCTCTGGGCAAAGGGGTTGCCACCCCAACCCACTCTGGGCAGGGAACTACTTTCTGGGGGAGGCTGAGGCAGAAGCACTGGAATCCTGTGCTCTTTCTGAGGTAGATGCCCCTGCCTGCAAGTGCCTCTTGTTTCTGGATGCTAGAACTTTCATTATCAGATGCCCCAGAAACACTCTATTTAGCACAGAATGTATAGACACACAGGGGACCAGTCTGGAAGTCCTCCCCTGGTCCTAATGGCTTGAACCTTCAACTCATTTGAAGCAGAAAGTCAGATTTACTGAGCTCGCATTCCACAGATTTCTAGAAACACTCAGGGAAAACTCAGAAGCTCTGCAGATCTGCTCTGGCCACCTCTTGTCCCCTGCACTGTTCCTCTGGCCCCACACCGCTTCTCAAGTCTTCTGGGCCACTGTCAGCAGTCTGTCCCTACACCCTGAGGAGCAGCTCATCTCAGGCCTCTGCTCTCTTCTGGTCCTGTGTTGTATGGGTTGGGGCCCGGACTCTGCTCACAGATTCCCACAGTGAGAGTAACCCGAATTCAGGAATAAAAGAGAATTATGTACGTTAGACCTGTGGACACACTCGGAACCCTTGACTGAAAACAACCCCATCTTCAGGGAGTCCCCGCAGGCTGCCTCATGGATATCTCCCAGTCCCTCCCCATCATCTCAAAGGCCCAATTTCCTTCCTTGCAGCAGAGGACCCTCAATCATGTCTGCCCACCTTCCCGCACACCTAAGGCCCCAGACAGAGATGGTCACTTGAACCTCACCATGGCCAGAGGCCTGCCTGTCGACTCTGGATTTCCTGTTCCTTCTCTCCCAGTGGTTGATATGGAAAAATCCATTCCCTTAGTGAAACTCCCCCCACCTCCCATACACACAGAGTGTGTTCCTAAAAACATAACTGTCCAATCTCAGCACATTCTGGATCGTTGACATTGACACGTGAGTCAGCAAATGGTCTAGTTGGTGCAGACCCAAGCTAATCCTAATCCGCATCCCAATCTAGTGTCTGGGTCCTCTCCAGCATGGAATTTAAAAAAGGAAAAAGAGGGGCGCCTCGGTGGATTAAAGCCTCTGCCTTCGGCTCAGGTCATGATCCCAGGGTCCTGGGATTGAGCCCCGCATCAGGCTCTCTGCTCGGCAGGGAGCCTGCTTCCTCCTCTCTCTCTCTCTGCCTGCCTCTGCCTACTTGTGATCTCTATCTGTCAAATAAAATAAAATAAAATCTAAAAAAAAAAAAAAAAAAAGGAAAAAGAAACCTGACAGAACTAAGGCGGTATCAGTGGGGACACAGAGGATGGGACGGATGTAAGAGTTGTGAAGGAGGTGGAGGCTAGGGCCTGACCTGGTTGTCAAGAGGGGGTGTTCAGGGCACCGTCCGGGATCCTGGGTGAATTGTGGCGCCAACGAGCTGAAGTAGGGAGTACAGGACAGGTGGCAGATGAGCACAGATGAGAGTTCGCTTTGGGACATGTTGAGTCTGAGGTGATTGGGGGAGATTCAGTAGAGACGGGCAGGAAGCCGCTCCATGTATTGTCTAGGAGGGATTGGCATTCCAGGATTCTGGAATGTGGTCCTGGCACAAGGAAGGAATCACATCACATAGCATTCTAGAATGTTCCTGCCTTCGCTTTCCCAATCCTCTCTGGGGGATACACAGATTCTTCTCTTTGTCTCACCCCCGTGGTTTCCTCCTCTCCTCTGACACTTTCACACACCTGCTGAGGTTCATGCCCGGAGGATCTCCCCTCCCTGAATGGGCTTGTCAGGTGCTTTTCCCAAGAGGAGCTGGTCTCCCAGCTTTGCCCGGCCACAATGTCCTGCAACTGGGCTAATGGTGATTTCGCTGGCTGGTGTTATTTGGAATCTCAGGATTTTCTGGCTGAACCACCACCTTGAAGTATTAAAATTGTGGGATAGATTCTAGAGTTTGGGGAGCTTTTTTTTTTTTTTTAATGTCTATTTAAAAGGTCTTCTGGATGAATCAGGCACCCGACGCTACATTTCCAGTTTAAGGAATGAGCCCCGAGTTTATTTTTCAGTACTGTTGAAGGCATATTTCTAATTTGATGTCCCGTGTTTGGTCAATCCCACCAAGCTCATAATGGCTCTCGTTAGCCCATCCCCTTCCCCGCCTCCCCGAACTCTTTGTACTCTTAGAATCTAGAGCTTTCTGATGGATCTTTTAATACATAGAGCAGTCCTGGGGCTTGAGCTCTCTGGCCAGGATCCGTCCTACCTCAGCTACTCTGCTGAATACCAGTCACTGGGCAAATGCTTGTCTTTGTTTACCTTGATCCTCTGGTTCGGTGGCTGCCTCTGCAGTCCATTATGTAGGGCAGACCAGCTGCTGTTTCGGCATGAACCCACTGGGCCTCCCGACACTGTGCCTAATTGTATTCCCTGTTCTCTGCTACCAGATGCAGTAAATTACATTTCCTCCCAGCTCCCCGACCTGCCAATGCTCTGTTCACGAACAGCAAAACCATCACCTGGGCAGGACGGGACTAGCAGAGGAGCTGGTAAGTCCTGGGGAGCTATTTGGTTTTGATGCTGGGACTGGCCACGGGGCCTGCATTTCTCTGAGCTTTAATAACAAGGGATGCCCAGATAGCCTTCCATAGTGGACCCTGTCCTCAGCCCAGCCTCAGACATAGAAATTGCAGTGGCCACGGAGTGTAGGTGCTAGGCCCTGATGAGTAATTAAGGATGGAATAGAAGGGACTACTGAGAAAATCATAGGGCATTTCCCCCTACCTTTAGTGGGGTCTCTCTCTCACATTTATGGTCTTTATATATCTCCTTATTCTCAAAGTTAATCTGTGCTCTTCCTCTGGGGGTTTATATTTTCCATACTGAAAATGTACAAGAGCCAAGGAGCTATGATGGAAGCTGGGGGAAAATTACTTTCAAAGCGTATGAGTATGTTGCCAAATCCCTTGGGAATCAAGCTGCTTGTGTATTATATATTCCAAGTCTTCCCATTTCTGGAATTATTTCTGAGCTACTGTGGTATATTTGGGGGAGGGGACGAACAATTTAAAGAACATGTTTCTTGCTAATGTTTTTCACAATGGTGGATTTAAAAAAAAAAACATACCTTTATAAGTATAAAGTCTATAGAGAGCTGTGTTTTGCTCTATTTGATACAAATGTGCCTCAGAAATCAGAACTGGATGGACGTGAAGAATCAGTCTCTAAACCAGTCGTTTTACAATCCACACAGAAATGCACTGGGGGCCAGGGGCTCAAATGAAAAAAATGAATGGCCAAGGTGGCACAGTTAGGAACAATGCAGGTGAATTCAAATCCAATTTATGTTTTACATAATCTAGGTAAGTTTATGCCTAAAATAAATCACATAATGACACTTTTCATGGAACAAAATAATCATGGGCTTTTAAGCCAGAAGAAATCATTTATATAGGCCAAACTGAATGTTTTGTGAAGCAAATAGTCCCTCCTCCTTTTAATGTAAACGTACCCTAAAATGGCAAGTAAGTGATGATGTGGTCGACGTGTGCACTGATTCAGTAGCTACTAGGTATCTCTGAAACATCTTAGCATGTCACTTTTACAGCTGGCTCACAGAATTCTAGAACTGGTGTTGTCTGGTCGGACCCTGGCCAGGTTTGTGTGTCCCCGGACCGAGAAAACAGTTCTTAGGGCCTGCAGGTGTGTAGCCGAGAAATCATCATCAGAGGCTTAAGCCGCAAGCTCTCACGTGCTCCAAGAGCACTTCTGAAGTCAACTAGAGTGATAGCTCTTCAACAGTCACACACCTTACCTTCCGCCAGTATTAGAGACTCAGGTGCTGATCGTTCCCAATAAGCGTGGGTAAACAGCTTCCTGGGCCCTCTCTACAACATGTTCCTGGACCTTACAGGACGTGAGATATGATCCAACCAACCGACCCATGGATCAGCTCCGGGAGAGGATAGGGACAATGTAACGACTCACTTTTAAGGGGTCTAGAAAGGGTTTGGGCCAGCATCAATAGTCAACAAGTGTGACATATAAGAGTAAGTAAAGCGTTAACGTGATTGGAGCTCTGGCTATGTGGGAATACGTGTGCCATTGCAGCCTAGCCTCCTTCAAGTTGAAGGTGCTCCAGAAAAGTAATGATCTGATGGCAAATGCATTTTCAGAAAGGAATTATGTGATCAGGATCTTCAAAAATAAGTGTATGTGTACTTCTGTTTATTACCAAAGAACTCATTTGCATAGATGTATCTAACTGTGGAAATACACACATGCAGAATCATGGAAGGAATTGCATTTGTTGTGGCTAACTCCTTTGTCTAGACTCTTTTCGGAATGGAGCGTCCAGATTCATTATCAGTTATGGCCAACAGAGCATGGCTGGCGTACCAAATAATGGCACTCGCTCCCAGAATCCTTTCCCCTAGACATGACCCATCTTGCTTTATGAACATTCTTTTGGAAATTTGCACAATTTTATTTTTAAATTTTTCAATTTTTTTTTAAAGATTGTATTTGCTTATTTGAAAGAGGGGGTGGGGAGAGGAGCAGAGGGAGAGGGACAAGCAGACTCCATGCTGAGCATGGTGCCTGATGAAGGGCTCCATGCCAGGACCCTGAGATCATGACCCAAGATGAAATCAAGAGTCAGACGCTCAACCAACTGAGCCACCCAGGCATTCCTTGGGCCCATTTTAATAAATGTCACTTGTGGTTACTCAGCATTATGACAAATCTTCTGGTCGTTTGGAGTTTGGAAGGTCTAGGCTTCTGTATAAATGGGAATTTATTTAGCATCATTGCTTTTAGAATTAGGAAGCATCTGTTGCAATCAAACATGAGGCTTTAGCAGCCCTGCAAATGGATCCCCAGATCACAGTCATATACCTCTGTGATTGGAGTTTGTGTCCCTCCAGGAGCCCCACTCTGTCTAATTGTACTGACCATTGGGAAGTCCTTCCTCGGAGGTCTGCCTCCATCTTCCACCCATCAGTCCTTATCCTGCTCCCTGGAGCCACTTGGAACAAACCTTGAATTGATTTCCCTTCAACTATTTGAAAATGACTATCATTTCTGGTCTTTCCCAGATCCTCAATCTGCATCCCCTTAGCACCCACAGCACCCAGTCTCTTTGGCTGTCCCAAAATTAATGAAATGGCTTTGAGATACCCTCTGCTATCCTTGGCCCTCCCAACTGAACCCTCCCCACTTTGTCTCTTGTCCTTCAGACGTGCAGTGCACAGACCTGCCCCATGCACTCTGGGGTGGGCTGATCTCCACACCCCTCGCTCCGAGAACAGAGCAAGAATCCGCAGACCATGTGACTCACTCTGCTGGTGCCGTGGTCTCTCAGCTTCAGGTTCAACCTCTGCTCAGCCTCATTCCCTTGATCCAGTCTAGTCATTGTTCCAGAATCATTTCCACTGAAACATGTAGCGGTTTTCTCTAATTGTGCACATACTGCTTTACCTGCTCGGAGAAACTACAAAATTCCTTATTTCTTACTCTCAAAAGGCAAAAGTAAGAATGAGCTATATACCTTTCTGCCCTTTGTAGATTTGATGTGACTGTTGAATTTCTTCTTGATAGATTGTCCCTTTAAGTGTCAGGGCCCCGTGGGGTCACTGAGGAGCATCTGTGAAAGGTGGGGAGGGGAATGGTATAAAGGGATTTGGTAGTCAGGGCTCAGGTATTCTGTCCCATTTCAGACACAGCAGCTCCTCTGTCCTTGGGTTTATATATTGTATTTCTGCCTCAGATTTCCATCTGAATAAAGGTTTTCACAGTTTTGAAAATAGAAAACCCTTCTTCTCTAGTGCTGGGATTTTTATAGCTATTGATTGTAGCACCTCAAAGCCTCGCTTTTCTTCTCAATTTAGTATCACCTGAGATCTGAAAACAAGTTTCCATTATTTTTCTTCATTTCATTGATGAAAACATGGCCCAGTTAGAACCAAAGTCAGAGGCCTGTGACACACTATTGGGGTCTCCTGGCCCTTGAGAACCCTAAATAGGCACCTGTGGGACATGCTCATTTAATAAGTAACAAGTTCTGGCAACTGTCTTGACAGCCCAGGCACATGTTTCTGTCTCGTCCACAGGAATGTGAGGGACTTTGTGATGATCCAGATTGATCTTAATCTCTGGCTTTGCTTAAATTGCCTAAATAACTTGAACAAAAAGAGAATGAAATGCATCTCTATACCTTCCGCCTGATGAACCCTTCCTGGGTCTTGGTGGTCTCTGCTCTTTGAAAATGAACTTTAGAATTTAGCCAGCCACGATGGCAAGCTACTTCTACATAGTTTATGTAATTCCTTCCTTCTTCTTTGTTTAAATCAGAACTCCAGGTGTTGGCTTGTAGCACCTTTCCCAGCGTCTAAGATTCTTGAGACAAATTTATTAATAAGGGAACTGACTCCTGGATCCAAAGCACTGAGATCATTTATGTCTCTCAGTGCTTCATTATTTTCTGAGCTTCTCCACTCATCTGGGCTTCACTTCCCTCTTAGCAATATTCTTTGGCACTCTCAGACTGAAAAATGTCCTTCTGGACCAAGAAAGTGGAAGCAAAATCAGATATGGGAAATTGGCTTGTGCTCTTCTTAGCCATGACGTCACATCTTTCCAGACTTATTTCTGTCAGTACTAAGGTGTCCTGGGAAAACAATTATTCCAAGAAACTTGTGATGACTGGTTTTTGAAGGTAGAGATTGTCTAACTGCTGGGATGAGAGGAAAGATCCACTCTGAATTAATTTCCTCACTTGCATTTTTTTTTTCCATCACAGCAGCCAAGTTTGTACTTCTATCCCCAAGAGAAGGTATGAGCATATATGTATATGCATAGTCGTGTGCCCAAAGGGAAATGACCGTATGTATATATGCTCACTGAATAAGTGAGCTTATTCAGCCAAATGTGTGCATTGTTTCTCCTCCACATTCCAGGTGTGATGTCAGCTACTGGGTGTTCAGTATATTGTGGGGGTCTAATGACAGTGGGCTGTGTCATATTATATTTTACATGTGGACCTTCAGCCTTATACCTCCTCCCACTGATCACAGTGAGTCAGAGCAAGTGAGCTGCTAGGAGCTAGAGTCGAGGGACCTAACATGATTGAGTTTTCTGTCCTCATGGAACACAGTGTCTTGTTTGGTCTGCTCTTGGCTTGATTCTGAAATGGAATCATGTGGTTGGTTGCCTCACCCCTCCCTTGGGTCAGATGCTCTTGTTTCCTCTTCCCTAGGCTTCTTAGTGTCTGTACAGCTGCCTTCTCCTTAACAAAGCTGAAGGGAACAGGGAACACGAGAGTACCTAGAACCATTGGCATAAGCTTGCATTGGAATCAAGCATTCTCTGTGGCTCAGACCCACGTCTCTGGGCTGTGCAGTGTGCCAGTAGGTTCACCTCCTGCTCCCACCCTGGTTTTTAGGCAAGTACCTATCACAGGGGCTTCCCCTCTGAACCACACCTGGCTGTTTTCAGAACCAAGAGCCTAGGATTAACAATCCAAATTAGACTGCCTCTGTTTCTTTAAGGTTCTCCTTATTTACCAGAGGGTAGGGTGGAGCAAGGACCTAGTAAACCAAACCCAGAGGCCTGGCGTCAAAGCTCCAGTTGCATCATTCATTTGTATCTGTTGCAGAAACTCACCACTATGGTTTTTATTCTTCCTTGACAGTCATGAACATCTACTCCCCCATCTAGGTTCTTGGAAAGCATAGCAAAAATGCTTTATCCATTCCAACGTTATTGTCATGTATGTCATGTTGGGAAATCAGTAATTAAATATATCATTTTGTAAAAACATACTTTCAGATTTCAGTCATCCTGTCATTGGGACTTCCATCAGACCATGTCCTTTCTCTCTTCTCTGGCTCCAGAATCTTTCTCACTGGAGGAAATTTCACATACTTTCCTATATGTCCATGCAGCTCTCAAAATCTCTTCCAGGGGCTCCCCCAGAAAACCCCCTCTCCTCAGAAGCAGCCCTTCCTGACTTGTTTTCAGTAAGCTGAGCACCGACCCCTCATCTCTACACAGATTGTAGTGTATCCCATGTGGCAAGGGAAGGCTCGAGGGAAGAGAATGGAAGAGAAGGGAGTATATTTTGTGGTTAGACACGAGAGCATGACCTAAGTGAGAGGCCTTTGGTAAACACCACTTGACAGCAGGAACAAGCAGGAGAGTTTTATTTTTAATGGTGTGCGTGCGTCAAAAATAAAATGTTGAATTCAAAATATAAGTCTCGTTTTTGTACTGGTTCACATTCACCCTGCTTCACATTTGAAATATTATTGGCTGAGAGCTGGAGCAAAATAAAAATGCTTATTTATAAACAGAATATTTAAGATAAATGTTCACACTTCCTGTGTGGCTTTCTGAATGTCTGGTAACATTCTTGTATGTGTATCCATGGAGTCTAAATGCTGCTTTTGTGTTAAGCAAGAGCTTCTCGAAGTGTTCACCTAAGTACCCCTTCCTAGAGAGGAGAATGGATGCAGACAAATCATGTGTGGCCAGATCCTGACAAAATCTGCTAAAAATCTGTTTCCTCTGAAGCCTTGTTTTACCTGGGGGAGAAAGTATGGATGGATGTTGTATTTTATGGCATAACATATTTAGGCTTATCTTATTGGCAAAATGTCTTACGATGTTCTACTCCCATATTCTAGAAATATTGAAAGAACAGTGTACAACATGTAAATACGAATACTAATATGTCACCCTAATGAAACCATGACACATGTGGTTCAGTCCCAGAGCCATGTCACATTTAACAAAATATGGTTTAAAATCACACACAGAAACAAAAACAAACAAACAAACAAAAAATACAACATTAAAAAAGGAATTCTGTTCTTTACCTGTTTTTCCTGAAGGATATTACAAGGACTCCAATTCATATCCCCACCCAGAAGCACTTCTCACATGTCCTTTTCTTTATTCCCCATATCTCCGCCACCACCACAAAAATGTACCCTCTTTTTCCATATCCCATGTAGCTTTTACACCCTCTCCTACTGAACTCCTTGCTTCTCAGCTCTTTTTTGTATGCATCTACTCAGGTGTTCTAGCATAGAACTCCTCCTCACCCTCCTTTCTGTCTTGTCCCTGATTCTGGAAACAGGCAAAGACAAAATGAGGGTTGGGGGTTAGGATGGTGGAGAGAGGAAAAGTGGACCAACAATGACAGCGTTCTCATTGGTGGGCAGAAGAAGAAGGACATCTCCAAAGATTCCCATGCTAATAATTTGTACCCGATCGCATATGGATCTAAAAATAGACATGTTTTGTTCCATATTCTGTATTGATGACAGATCAGTGTGTCATTTTATTCACATATTACTAGATGCTTGGGGGATAATTAGGTATTGTACCTATAACTGGCAATCATTAGCATCATCTTTATTTATAAATATGTCCCATGAGTGTTTTAATAGTGATAAGACATAATATTTTAACCCCCAAACTGTGCTTTTTGATGTAAATGTAATATTTAAAGAACAAACCTTGGAGTCCACACACAATTTTAAATGCCTAGTCTGTTTCTCTGGTGACACACTTGGTGGGAAATCAGGAAATAACCGAGACAAATATTTCTCTTGACGTCACCATCCTTGTGTGAGCCCATGTACTTCCATGACAAATATCGGTTGGCCTCTCACTGTGTCACTGAAGGAAACTCAAGATCTTTGTGCTGAATAAGGGAAGCTTTCAAAATGGACATAAGGAAAATCAAGCATTGGATCTGGCTTCACAATCTGTTTAGTTAAGTGTTAACTGTGAACGGGCCGTGTCTTATTACCCAACAGATGAAATAGTATCATGGCTGTTTCTCTAACCAGTTCAAACATTAATTACTGTGTGTACCTTTTCATTGGTGTCATGTTATACAAAGTCTTTGTGACTAGATAGTAGACTTTTCAATTAGTGGTATTTATTTCACCGGTATTTGTAGATCAGGTACTGTGTAGACAAAAGGCTCTAAGGTAGGTGCTGGTGGGGTAGGGGAATGGTAGAAAGATGTCAGGCAGAAAACTCACCTTTAGGGATCCTAAAAACCCATGGAGCTAATAAAAGATTCCCACAAATGATTATACCCCTGAGTGGAAAGTGTTAAGTGACTTCAGAGAGGTTTGGAAGTGTTCAGAGAGCTTAAGAAGAGAGAGAAGACTTGGAGATGGAAGGACCAAAGAAACCTTCTGAGAGTGGGGAGGCAGCTGGCTGGGCATCGATGGATAGGTCCTATTTGGATGGATAGAAACTCTGAAAGGAAGGCCAGTTCATGAGAAGGGAATCTTAAAAGCAGGAAAAGTTTAGGTGTGGGATGGTGTTATTTGATTATGCTAAAAAAGTTGGGTGGGGAGAGCAGTTGAAATGATCATTTGGATCTTCTTAACACCCTTGGGGAACGTGTAGTTATTCAGAAAGAGGTAGGGACTCAAAGGCAATCATAACCCGAGATGCCCCCATGGGAAAGGCAGGCCAGGCAGGGAAGGATGCTGAGTTCTGGGAATAGAGCAAAGTTTGCTATGGTTGGAGCATACGTAGGATGAGAGGGGCTGAGAGACAAGGCTAGAAAAGAAGTTGCAGACAAATTCCCAAGGGAATTATATGCCACACTAAGCAGTTTGGCATTTGTCCTATATAGATGCAGGAACCCACAGAGCATTTGTGCAGAAGGTGTTGTGGGCTGGATGGAGCACAGGCTAGTGGAGCCAGCAGACTTTTTCTATAAGTGGCCTGATTGTAAACATTTTAGACATTGTGGACCACATATGGTCTCTGTCATCTATTCTTTTTTTTTTCTTTTTTCCTTTTCTCTTTCTTAAATTTCCGTCCTTCTTTCTTTCCTTCTTTCCTTCCTTCCTCCCTCCCTCCCATTTCCTTTTATAGTATTTTCAAAACAAGTCTTGGGCTACCTTTGCCCCCTGCTCTGAGAAGCGGCAGGTGGAAGTGGGCAAAGCTGTTGTGCGGAGAGCAGAGGGGACCTGGCCTGAGGCAGTGGCGGTAGAAGAGTCGTGAGGAGACGCAAGGGGAGAGGTCAGAAGTGGAATTAGTGGCTCACAACAGTTTGGCTGTGGATGAAATTAGGAAGAAAAGGACAAATCAGGTGTGATTCTGAGGCTTCTCGCTCAAGAGACAATGAGGTACTGGTATTGAAAACCAAGAAGACTAGGGGGAAGTTTTTAGAGAAGGTAAGTTCGGTGTTGAAGTTGCAGAGTTTGAGGTAATCCATGGGTCATCCAAGGAAAGCGTGCCTGGGGCCAGTGGGCTTCCTGAGACCAATGCTCGCTTGGTGCCCTAGCATCCAGAATGCGTGCCTCGCAGGGAGCCTCAGAGGTAACAGATTGGAGAGGTTGGAGGGTCACACAAGACTACAGAACAGGGGAGAGCAGGTCCTTAGGAAGCCCAGATTGGTGGCAAGATTTGGGATAAGTTGGAGAGGGCTAGAGTGGACAGGGGGAGCTGGGAGGAAGCCCTTACCGTAACCTAGGGAAGCGGAAATAGTGTCTTAGATTGAGTAGTGGCCGTGGAAGAGAGAGAAGGTGACCGAGGAAAAAGATGGTATGGGGCAGAATCACGAGGATTTGGCGCTGTGCGCATGGCCAAAGAAAGAGGCCTTCTGTGATCACTGTCCTCCAATTCCAGTCGCCACGGGATGCTGCTACCTCCATCTTGTCCTTTTTCTAGTCCTTGTTTCAGAAATGCAGCTCAGTGATTGAAGTAGTCTCAGAGCATATAACCTGACTGGTTTGTAGCTTCAGTTCTGTAGACAGCCTAGTTCAAAGTACAGTGGAGGATAGCCATTCCCCACCAGCAAAATCTTTTGCATAGTCTCCATTCACAGTAAAAGGAGATGCAGAAAACAAAAACAAAAACAAAAAAAAACAACAGTAGACTGCTTGGTGAAAAAGTTAAAAAAAAAAATTAAGATTTTGGAATTACAATGCTTCTTAGCCAGGACCTTTAAAATTGTCTATAAGCCTCGGGTAAGCTGTCAATCAAAATAAACTTGCATGTGTGCCAGCCTCCCAGGAATTAATTACACGGGATGTACACGGTCGCTTGTGGTCTTACGTTAGCAGATCTTTCTTAGAAGTGTAAGGGCCAGTGAGATATGGCAACTCTGTACGTCTGGCTTCCCGGTGCAGTGAGCTGCTGTGTTCAAACACATTTATAACCACCTCTGTCCACACTGTGCACTCACTCTAACACTCAAGATGCTTGGCAGTTAGACTAGAAAGGGCACAAAGCCCTTTTTTTTGTGTCTGTTTGGCAATTAACCATTCACTGGCTTTTTTTGTTGTAACATGCACTTCCTTTCTCTTGTTTTCATTCAAGCTGTGTACGCCATGGAAATTAATGTGGAGAAAGACAAACAAACAGGAGAGACCAAGATTCTCTCTGCATCCACCATTGGCCCAGAGGGGGTCCATCAGAGAGGAGTCAAAGTCTATGATGATGGTACCAAAGTAGTGTATGAGGTGCACTCGGGAGGCACTGTGGTAGAAAATGGAGTGCACACGTTAAGCTCAAAGGATGTAGAAGCACTTATTCAGAAGGCGGGACAATCAAGCTTCAGAGGAGGGCACGTGTCAGAAAGAACTGTGATCGCAGACGGGAGCCTCGGCCACCCGAAGGAACCCATGCTCTGCAAGGAAGCCAAGTTAGAAATGGTACATAAGTCTAGGAAGGATCATTCTTCCGGGACCCCAGGGCAGCAGCCCCCAGCCCCCAGCACAGAAGGGCCCGAGGCCAACTTGGATCAGCCAGTCACCATGATTTTCATGGGCTACCAGAATATCGAAGACGAAGAGGAGACGAAGAAGGTGCTAGGCTATGACGAAACCATCAAGGCGGAGTTGGTCCTCATTGATGAAGACGATGAGAAGTCATTGAGGGAGAAGACCGTGACGGACGTGTCCACCATCGATGGGAATGCAGCCGAGCTTGTGTCCGGGAGGCCGATCTCGGATACCACAGAGCCCTCATCCCCAGAAGGGAAAGAAGAGAGCCTGGCCACAGAGCCAGCCCCAGGTACCCAAAAGAAAAAGCGCTGTCAATGCTGTGTTGTCATGTGACCACTTCTTTCTTCCCTTTTCTTCTGGGCAGCCTCTGGGCTCTCCACCACTTCCGTAGACCTCACTGTACCACTAACGGCAATACTGTCAGCTGGAAGCAAACACCTGCCTTGCCTTGCAGTTGGATTGCTTGGGTCTCTCTTATTTTTGTCCCCCTTTCATTTTTCTCCAGTTTCCTCACCTGAGAGACAACGTGCATGTGTGTGCTTCATTCTTTCCAAGAACTTGCTTTTCCTCTAAACCTTTCCTTGTGTCTTCAAGAGTGAATCAATTTCTTACTGCTCGATTGGAATGGACTCTCCACATCAGCCAGTTCTATAGTAGCCTTAACTCACTTGACCGGAATTGAACCCGTGGCCCTGGGGGTTTCCTGTTGTAGCGTGTTCCTATAATGTAGTCCCACATCACCACGTCGCTGACTTCCCACTTGCCTCCCTTGCTGTGGATCTTTGCTTTTATATCGTGTGTGGCAAAATGCTGTGGGCTCTCACTGGTTGCCAGCGTGGCCAAAAGTGGACCTTATACTTAGTCTGTTCAATCTAGGGTGATGCTTTTTGCTGCCTTACATAAGCTTCCAGATTACAGTATTGTGCATCTATGACTTTCCTTCTGTTAAAACTGAAATGACGTTGATGTAAAAGAAAAGGAACCCAGTGCGTGTCGCAGCTGAAATGTAGGGACTGATTCCATAACCCGCCCATCAGCAGCCGTCCCTTTCTGTGGCTTACCTGATGGACACTTTATATACGAAGCACCATTTTTAATTTTCTAAGGACATGAAACAAACATTGTTTTGAGCATTCGTAGTAATCTCTAAACTTAGGCATATCCATGAGCCTTGCTTCTATTCTCTCAGAAAAAAAAAATGTAAATTTTTATATTGTTTTCTTTTTCACGGATATTTTCTGATCATGTTAATCTATTTTCAACGAAGGGATCATTTTGAGGAGTATCTCTGCAGTGACCGTATTTCTAGAACAGTCTTTTTGACCAACTGTGGTTGCTACCAAGCTTCCATTTCATTGTGGATGGACGGTGCTGGAACTGAATTCACCTGTTCATCTCCCCTTCCCACTTGATTACAGAGCCTTACTTCTGGACTCTTTTCTTTCTGTCCCATGAGAAAGAGAATGTTTCCCATAATGTCACCATGCAGGTTGATCCACCCTTCAAAATCAGCTTGAAAATGTAAAAAATGTGTAAGAAAGACCTGTCTTCTCCACGTTAAGTCCTTAAACTCCTTCCACAAGTACCGGCTGAGTGGCACATAGTGGAGCTTCTTAAGGCACGTTTCTTAAACTTCTGGAGATTTCAGAACATCAGAGAATAGTTTTTTGGTTGTTGTTGGTTTTTTTTTTTTAATCTAGAACACAATGAACAATTTAAATAAATTCTTAGCATTCTCCCAAAGCAAACAGCCAGGTGTGTAGTAAAACCAAAGGGAAGCAATAGAGTAAAAAAAATAATACAGTAATAAAATAAAGATGTAACATTTTAACTGGTTTTAATAACAGAGATCTCTTAACCTGAAGTTATTTGCCCAGATGTTCATAGCACTGTTGCAAATCGTTCACAAAATGTATCTATGTTCCATGGAACATAGTTTTAAAAAACATACAATAAGTCATGCTCCCTCAAGTCGAACCTCTGTGGAAAGCAGACAAAAATAAATAAATAAATAAGATAGTCTTGAGAGAATTTCTTTATGGAACCAACTAAATTTGTCCTAAACATAGTTTTCTCAATGCTAAATCTAACTGTTACTACTTTAAGTTTCTTGGCTTGAACTTATATTCCAAATGGAAAGGGGAAAAATGACATTTTTATTGTGAAAAGTTCATTTCTCTCAAATAATTATATTTCAGTGAGCACAAAATAAGTCATTTTATCACCAACGGGTAAGCAGAAAAAGTCAAGAAGGGACAAATAAAGGAGCTAAATTCTGCTCCTAAAATGATTCCATCAATGGCTTCCTTTTGAATAGTGGAGGGGGTTCCCTCTAAATGATCTCAGGTTCACCAAAGCAGCTACCGTTGAATTAAGCTGCTGTCTTATCTCGGAATAACATCTGGTTTTGCTGCCTAGAAATCTCCCCACTCGGCTTCACACTCCTCAGTCAATGGTCACTTAAGCTTCCTTTAAATGTTGAAGAGAATGACATGCCAGATAAACTTATTCACGTAGAAAATGAAAAAGGTTTCAGTGTTTGGACAATCTATTATTTTAATAATTTATTTAATAAAGAAACAATCTAAAAGTTTACCATAACTTACCTTTTTTTACTCACTTAGGGGTTAATATTATTCAATAGGAGTTTTTAAAAGCACAGTTAGTGAGTGGAATGGTAGAATGTAGAACCCTTGAGCTTGCTGTTTGATAACCAGAATCAGTCTGGTTCGAGGACAGAGAATTCCCAGAAATGTTCTACCCATCCTGCTGTAGTGAGCTAGTTCTTCATGAAGAAAATGATCTGCCCCTTTCACTGCAGCCCTACACAAGAGATCTGAAAGACCAATGATAATCTGCACTTTCATTCATCAGTTATTATTATAGGAATTAACAAATTATATGAATTAGAAGTCTCTTTATAATTTTACTATTAAATCTTATTATTAGATCCTTTAAAGTAAGACATGTTACCTTTATTAAAATGATATGTGGCCATAGTAAGTGGTTTGTTGGAATATGGCATATATGTGCTTATTTTTCATCCTTTACTTATCAAAATAGAGGATTTAGGCTCAGCCAGTACTTTTATGAGATGAGACCTATAATCTCACCTACAGCATCGAGTAACTACATAATGAACATATCCTCAGTGTCGTGATTGAGAACGTTCTGCCTTCCGTGCCATCATTCTCTCTGTAAAAACTTTATTATGTGTGGTATCACACCCTCCAAAAATACAGGGTATTGACTTCCATAATCTGACAAATTAAAGAACCAGTATCGAAGCTGCAAGACGATGATCTTTTTGAGCCAATGGTTCGTTGGATTGTCTTCTAAAACTATATAATCAGTTCCCCCTTAAACAGAAAGAGAAAGAGGGAAAAGAGGGATATTTCATTTCTTAGAAATAGATTTTCAGTGGCATTGAATTAAAGATCTTTTAATGGTTAAAATGGTAAAGTTTAACCATACATATCCTGACAAATCTCAATGACTTGTATATCCTTGCCTTTGTTTTCTTTGATGTGCAATAGGACAGACTAAGGGGAATTTTTTTTTTTTTACCTTGTACCTCTTTTGCCCTTTATTCTATTCATTACTTTTATAAGCAAAGTGAGTTGCCTCTAAAAGTGATTTGACAGTGTCCAGTGACATCACTAATACTAGGACTAGAGAGGATGAGGAGAGAGGGAATTCCCTTCTGGCCAAACCCAAGGCATGGTTTCCTTAAGCCTCCTGAGCAACCGAAAAATATTCAAAGACTTTCAGGAAACTTAGATTTGACTCTTTTCTGAACTGCAATTATACATGTATCAGCTTTAAATTCCCATCAACTCCATTTTACTTCCTGGTCATAAATGTGTTTGTTCCTACATACAAGTAGAATGCTTTATTTCGGTTAGGGTCAAGTTTTTTATAAAAGGAGGGAAAACATCGAGGTACAAGAACCTCTCTGGAGCAAAACATTCAGGCCAAGTGCGAAAACGGCTCATGTCTCTTCGCCTCCTGCAGAATTTCATTTCAAGGGACCACTGAACACCCTTGAAATGAACACTTATTTCCTGCTAGTGAACCAGGGTAGCGAAAGAGGAGGGAGGGAATGTGGTGACAGAGGCAAAACTCCAACCACTAAACCAGCTCTTCCTTTTTACAAAGTACCCTGTCGATTTAAAACACAGGAGAACACAAAATATTCACAGAGGACTTTTTGTTGTCATTCTTGTGGAAGATCTAGAAGCTCAGATCTCCCTTTGTCAATGGACTCACTGTGGAGTTCAGCTCACCAAAGGGCCCCTTCCTTGCGGGGATAGTCTCATCTCCCAAAGGGTTACTTTGTTTACAGTAAACACCCCTCCAAGGCAAGCAGTTTTAAGTTGTATTTTTTTTTTTAAAGATTTTATTTATTTGACAGAGAGATCACAAATAGGCAGGGAGGCAGGCAGAGAGAGAGAGGAAGGGAAGCAGGCTCCCCGCGGAGCAGAGATCCCTATGTGGGGCTCGATCCCAGGACCCTGGGATCATGACCTGAGCCGAAGGCAGAGGCTTTAACCCGCTGAGCCACCCAGGTGCCCCTTAAGTTGTATTTTTGCAACATGCACCTTCAGTCATTGGAACCACAAAGAAGGTTTGAAACCTCATAAATATGCAATCTTTTAGAAGCTCCTCAGTTTACTTTGTATCAAGGTATATAGAACTCCACTGATGAGGATAGAACCAGCAAATATCCTTTGTCCTGCTGGACGGTACAACCCAGCAGGTAAATGGAGTGACGGTGGTATATATCACAAACCAGCTCCAAGAAACCAGCAAGATGAGCTCTTTGACTCTAGCTGCCAGGGGTCATTGTATAGCCTTCTTCTGGTCTTTTCAGGAAAACTGGCCTGCATTTTCTAGGGACAAAGAAAAGCCAGGCTTTCGTGATCATAGGAGCACAATGCAATTATGTGTCTGTATTTTCATAGTTTCAGTGAACTCTAGGATAAAATTCTCATTTTAACAAAAACCAAAATACTTATTATTTGAATGTAGAAAAAAAATGAAATAAAGCTTACATCCTGAAAGGTTTCAAAAGGGCAATTTCCATGGGGATCCCTAGACCAGCCTCGCCCATCCCCCTTCATTTTTATATGACTTAAATAGGCCTCTGCTTCCCCTCTCCACTCCAGTCTAACCTAAGGTCAGAACCATATCACGAAACCTTGCTTTCAACTTGAAAATATAAGATGTAATTTTGGGGATCGCAGGTTTTCTGCATCAAAGATCTGGACCGCCTTAACTTTTGTAAAAAAAAAACAAAAAAAAAACCCAATTTTTCCAGGCTCTCTTTTACTAAGCAGGAAACCAAAATGTTTCCTGAAAATTAATGACTTTTTTATATTTTGTGACTATTTTCTAAGTTTCTATAGGTTGAGGTGTAAATGGTCATCTTCTCCCCATAATGCCTCTTCCTGGTCAACAGCGGGGGGGGGGGGCCTCTTTTTTGCAAGTCACTGCATTTTTATCAAAAGAAAAGTATATTTCATGAACCATAAATAAATTAAAAGTCCCTAGACTTCAGGCAGTCCTTCTGGAGTGAAAGAACAAAAATACAGAAAGAAAAGAATTACAGGGTGGCTTTCCTTTTATTTTCCTATGGTTAATGTACTGTATGGTATGTATGTTTACAGAATGTATCTGCCTTGTGATGTGAACAAAATGAATGACAAAATAAGAGTTCTGATGTGCCATTTGAAAGTTTGCCTTAGCATTGCTGTTTATGTTCTTCTTTTCTGTCCTTTAAAAAAAAAAAATGCAGGTTGTATTCCAAAGCTGTATTAACACAACATTCTCTTCCCCGCCCCTACCCAGCCTTCTTCAGAGCTGTGAATTCTATCACAGGAGCCTTGAGGCAGAACCTTGCTGGTCAGACCCAGAGGGAATAAAGTGGACATTGCTTGGACATTGTCTATGTCCATCTAGCAATCAAGCATGTTCCTGTGTTCTCATCTGGGTCTGAATGTCACGCTCTGACACTCCTGGGCAGGCCATAGACGTCATAAGATCTTCCGCAGTCCTTCTTACCGTGAGGGGATGGGGACTTACTTGTGGACCCCTTCTCTGGGTCTGGGAGCATATTTTTAAGCACAAGTAGCATAGCTTGTGAAAGCAAGAGAGATGGACTCAAATGGTGTGATTGAGCCATAACTGAGAGGTGTGCCCATTCATAAGATGAGTACCATAGGGGTGGGAGTAAGGAGTGGCCATTAGAAATGGAATATTTTACATTTATGTATTTTTTTAAGGAATGATATTTTTATAATGAAATCTATATGCATTATGAAGCTTGAGTTTGAAAACAATTTTGATTGAGTTATTTCTCCATTCCCTTAAGGTAACTTTCTGGTGAGTTCAGCACAAGCCCAGACCTTGAGAGGCATGATCAAAGGTCCTGTGGCCTGCCCATGTGCCTCCACTGCATGAAATCCAGTGTTTCCAAACAGACCTATATTGTAAGATCAAGCTTTCTATGCCTGTCATTAGATAAACCATGTCTTGATAGCTTGATAGCTCTCTGGGCTACATCTTTAATGATAAATAATGATGTTTTGAAAGGGGATAGCCATTTTAAGTGTAAGGCAACTCCAGCAATGATCAAAGTCCAAATATTTCACATATTTAAGGACTGATCACTGTGTTGGAGATTAAGGGACCACTCACTATGGTACATTTAAATGATATGGATAAAATGGTGCGTCAGAAACCTCTGGCCATAAACCAACAATATAAAACTTAGGAGGTATAATTGGCCTTGTAAATACCAAAGGTGCTGCACCACATTTTCAGAGTTAAGAAGACACAGAAAAGAATTGTCTTTATCTATCCACTAATGAGATTCTGAATTTTTAGAGTTCCTGGATCCTTCCCCCTCCACCAATTTTCTGCCAATCTCCCAAGTTCCCATTGCAATCAAACTCAGTTTCCTAAAGATCTTCACCCACACCTGTTCCTCTGTCTG